GGGGATTTTGGGGGTCCCCGGGCCCGGCCGGCCGCTCGCCCAAAACAAAAAGGGGGGAGGGGAGGGGTCGGAGTGGGGGAGGGGTCACTGAGCCTGTGGGGGAGGGGAACGGGTCAGGGGGACCCCAAAACCCCCGGGGGGGTTCGGGGGTCCCGGGGGAGCTTTGGGGGGTCATGGGGGGATTTGGGGCAGGTTTTTGGGGTGTTTCTGGGGGATTTTTTGGGTTTTTTTGGAGTTTTTTGGGATATTTTTGGGTTTTTTTTGGGATATTTTTGGGGTGTTTTGGGGCAGGTTTTCGGGGTGTTTCTGGGGGATTTTTTTGGGGATATTTTTGGGGTGTTTTGGGGATATTTTTGGGGTGTTTTGGGTTTTTTTTTGGATTTTTTTGGGGTTTTTTGGCGATATTTTTGGAGTGTTTTGGGGCAAGTTTTTGGGGTGTTTCTGGGGGGATTTTTTTGGGGATATTTTTGGGGCACATTCAGGATATTTTTGGGGTGTATTCAGGATATTATTTTTGGGCTGTGTTTGGGGTATTTTTGGGGCACATTCAGGATATATTTGGGATATTTTTGGGCTGTGTTTGGGGCCCATTCAGGATATTTTTGGGGCGCATTCAGGATATTTTTGGGGTGTATTCAGGATATTTTTGGGGTGTATTCAGGATATTTTTGGGGCCCATTTGGGCTATTTTTGGGGCACATTTGGGCTATTTTTGGGATACATTCAGGATATTTTTGGGATACATTCAGGATATTTTTGGGGCCCATTCAGGATATATTCGGGATATTTTTGGGGCACATTTGGGATATTTTTGGGGCACATTCAGGATATTTTTGGGCTGTGTTTGGGGCGCATTCAGGATATTTTTGGGGCACATTCAGGATATATTCGGGATATTTTTGGGGTGTATTCAGGATATATTTGGGCTATTTTTGGGGCTATCCTGGCACCGTACCTGCTGTCCCTGCTGGCCGGCGGGCGGGGTNTTTTTGGGGTGTATTCAGGATATATTTGGGCTATTTTTGGGGCTATCCTGGCACCGTACCTGCTGTCCCTGCTGGCCGGCGGGCGGGGTTTGGGGCAGTGTTTGGGGCAGTGTTTGGGCTATTTTTGGGGCACATTCAGGATATATTCGGGATATTTTTGGGGCCCATTCAGGATATTTTTGGGGCACATTTGGGATATTTTGGCACCGTACCTGCTGTCCCTGCTGGCCGGCGGGCGGCGGCCCCGCGGGCCCCGCGCTCCCGGGGCTCTGCCCGTAGTACGCCGCCTGCTGCCGGTAGTACTCGGCCCAGGCCGCGCTGTAGTCGGGCTGGGGGCCGGGGGGCGCCCCGGGACCCCCCCCCGAGGCCACCTGGGCGGCTGGGGGGGCACGGGGGGTCAGCACCCCAAAAACCGCCCGAAAATCCCACCCTGGATTGGGGGGTCAGCACCCCAAAAACCGCCCGAAAATCCCACCCTGGATTGGGGGGTCAGCACCCCAAAAACCGCCCGAAAACCCCCTGGATTGGGGGGTCAGCACCCCAAAAACCGCCCCGAAAACCCCCTGGATTGGGGGGTCTGGGGGGGGTCAGCACCCCAAAAACCCCCCAAAACCCCCTGGATTGGGGGGACATGACCCCAAAAACCGCCCCGAAACCCCACCCTGGGTGGGATTGGGGGGTCTGGGGGGGTCAGCACCCCAAAACCCCCCCCTGGGTGGGATTGGGGGGTCAGCACCCCAAAAACCGCCCCAAAACCCCCTGGATTGGGGGGTCAGCACCCCAAAAACCGCCCCAAAACCCCCTGGATTGGGATTGGGGGGCACGGGGGGTCAGCACCCCAAAAACCGCCCCAAAACCCCCTGGATTGGGGGGTCAGCACCCCAAAAACCGCCCGAAAATCCCACCCTGGATTGGG